TTTTTTGAGATGGAGTCTCCCTCTGTCGCCCAGGCTGGAGTGCAGTGGCGCGATCTCGGCTCACTGCAAGCTTTGCCTCCCAGGTTCACACCATTCTCCTGCCTCAGCCTCCTGAGTAGCTGGGACTACAGGTGCCCACCACCACGCCTGGCTAATTTTTTTGTATTTTTAGTACAGACGGGGTTTCACCATGTTAGCCATGATGGTCTCGATCTCCTGACCTCGTGATTTGCCTGCCTCGGCCTCCCAAAGTGCTGGGGTTACAGGCGTGAGCCACCTCGCCCAGCAATTTTTTGTGTTTTTTAAGTAGAGATGGAGTTTCACCATGTTGGCCAGGCTGGTCTTGAACTCTTAACCTCAGGTGATCCCACCTGCCTCAGACTCTCGAAGTGCTGGGATTATAGGCATGGGCCACCACACTTGGGTAGATGAGTTTTTAAGAAAAGTAGTTTATATTATATTTTATTTATTTATTATTTAATAATTTATTTATTTTCGAGATGGAGTCTTGCTGTTTCCAGATGGAGTCACCCAGGCTAGAGTGCAATGGCAGGATCTTGGCTCACTGCAACCTCCCTATCTCGGGTTCAAGCGATTCTCCTGCCTCAGCCTCCCGAGTAGCTGGGATTACAGGTGTGCGCCGCCACGTATGGCTAATTTTTGTGTTTTTAGTAGAGATGCGGTTTCACCATGTTGGCCAGGCTGGTCTTGAACTCTGGACCTCAGGTGATCCGCCCGCCTTGGCCCCCCAAAGTGCTGGGATTACAGGCATGAGCCACTGCGCCTGATTGTACTTTATGTATTTTAAAAATTCTTTCCTTAGAGGAAAGATTAACAAGGTAGACAGGAAAAAGTGAAGGCAATTCTTGTGTTTGAAAATTCTTTGGAAAATAAAACAGACTTTCTTCAGTTTATTACATTTACAAAATATGTTTTGCTTCCCCCTTTCTTTAATTTAATGTTTATAATGTGAATTCTGTTGGAAAAATTCTGCTTGTCGTTTTATATTTCTAGGTGTCTTTGGAGATGGGGAAAATCTTAGTGGAAGGTGTGGGTGAAGTTCAGGAATATGTGGATATCTGTGACTATGCTGTTGGTTTATCACGGATGATTGGAGGACCTATCTTGCCTTCTGAAAGTAAGCAATGAAATTAGTTAAGCTGAGTTTTGTACTCTGATATACAGAGCTCCAAAAAAAAAAAAAAAAGTACTCTGGCTATGGACTGTGCAAAAGAGAAATTTCTTTTTTTTTTTTTTTTTTGAGATGGAGTCTTGCTCTGTCCTCTGTCGCCCAGGCTGGAGTGCAGTGGCGCCATCTCAGCTCACTGCAAGCTCCGCCTCCCGGGTCCACTCCATTCTCCTGCCTGAGCCTCCTGCCTGAGCCTCCCGAGTAGCTGGGACCACAGGCGCCCGCCACCACGCCCGGCTAATGTTTTTGTATTTTTAGTAGAGACAGGGTTTCACCATGTTAGCCAGGATGGTCTCGATATTCTGACCTCATGATACGCCCGCCTCAGCCTCCCAAAATACTGGGATTACAGGCGTGAGCCACCGTGCCCGGCCATAAGAGAAATTTAAAGTGACATAAATAGGTGAAAATATCCTCAATCTTTCAAAGAAATGCAAATTAAAACATGAAAATGTTAGATCAAGAACCTTTTTGTTTTAAAGATAAAACCTAATGTTGGCAAGTGCATGGTTAGACACTTTTAACTCATCTGTAAAATGATTTGGAAATATACCCAAAGAGCTGTAACTTTAAAGAGCCCAGTTTTAAGAATCTAAGTAAATAATCTGAAATAAGACAGAAGTTATATGTAAAGAAGTTCATTGTGGCATCAATTAAAAACATTAGAAATGACCAAAACGTAGAATCATAAGGGGAAAAAATCTAAGCCAATTTTAGTAGACTATTAGCATGTACTAAAAATAATGTATATGAAGGTTGTCTTCCCCTAACCCACACGTTTACAGGAAGGTTTTATTTACTTGTTTTTAAATTATACTAATGTTAATTTTTTTTGAAGAGGTGAAGATTCATATCAGAAAATTAGAAAGCAATAAAAGGGTAAAGGATGAAAAGTTTCCCTCCTACCCCTGTGGCTAAGCCATAGTACCCCATGGAAGTAGTGAATGCTTTCAATTTCTTGTGTGTCCTTTTTATACTTGTAGAATCTTGCTGTGTTGTTCAGGCTGGTCTCAAACTTCTGGCCTCAAGTGATCCTCCCCTTCAGCCTCTCCAGTAGTTGGGATTATAGGCGTAAGCCACCCTGCTAGGCCCTTGTGTATCTTTTTTAGAGCATGTACAGCCAAATATGTAGCAAACTATACATTCTTGTTTTTTTTTTTTTGAGACTGACTCTTGCTCTGTCGCCCAGGCTGGAGTGCAGTGGCGTGATCTCGGCTCACTGCAACCTCCGCTTCCTGGGTTCAAGCGATTTTCTGCCTCTGCCTCCCGAGTAGCTGGGATTACAGGCGTGCACCATCACACCCAGCTAATTTTTGTATTTTTGGTAGAGGTGGGGTTTCACCATCTTGACCAGGCTGGTCTTGAACTCCTCACCTCATGATCCACCCGACTCGGCCTCCCAAAGTGCTGGGATTACAGACATGAGCCACTGTGCCCAGCTGCAAACTGTACATTCTGTTTTATACTTTTATATTCAAAAATATATCTTGGAAATTGTTTTTTTGTTTTCTTTTTTTGAGACAAGATTTTACTGTCTTGCCCAGGCCAGAATGTGGTGGCACGATCACAGTTCACTGCAGCCTCAACAACCCTGGGATCAGGCAATCCTCCCACCTCAGCCTCCTGAGTGGCTGGGACTATAGGTGCATGCCACCATACCTGGCTACTTTTTTTTATTTTTTTGTAGAGGTGAGATTTGGCAATGTTGCCCAGGCTGGTCTCGAACTCCAGGGCTCAGGTGATGTGCCTATCTCAGCCTCCCAAAGTGTTAGGATTGTAGGTGTGAGCCACTCTGTCAGGCTGGAAATTGTTTTCATGTTAGTCTATTAAGGGGCTTCCTTCATCTGTGTCTGCTGCTGTCTATTTTGATATAAAGAGACCATAATTTATTTAGTCAGCTCCCAAATGATGTATATGTAGGGTTGTTTTCAGTGTTTTGCTATTACAAGCTGTTCTGTAAGAACCAATCTTATACTCTGAGGTTTTAACGATGAAGATAATAAGATGACAGCAAGAGTAAGAAAAAAAAAACTGGACATGGTGGCTCACACCTGTAATCCCAGCACTTTGGGAGGCCGAGGTGGGCAGATCACCTGAGGTCAGGAGTTAGAGACCATCCTGGCCAACACGGAGAAACCCCGTTTCTACTAAAAATACAAAATTAGCCAGGCATGGTGGCACATGCCTGTAATCCTGGCTACTATAGAGGCTGAGGCAGGAGAATCACTTGAACCCGGGAGGTGGAGGTTACCGTGAGCCAAGATCGTGCCATTGCACTCCAGCCTGGGCAACAAGAGCGAAACTCCATCTCAAAAAAAAAAAAAAAACAACAAAAAAAACACGCAGTTAAGAGTGTGTGCGATTTTTGATGTTTGCAATGTGGATGGCGCAAAACAGGTGACTGTGTGTCTGTATTGGCAATGCTGGGATAGAAATGTATGCTAAAGTGGTAGCAGTGGTTATCTCTGTGGCAGAATTATTAGTAGTGGATTTTCTTCTATTTTTCTATATTTTCTAAATTTCCATGATGGTTATTAGGTTACATTTATAATCAGGAAATAAATATTTTTTAAAAAATCATATTTTTCTCTTTTTCTCCAAATATTAAGTACATTCCCTTCTTGTAGAAAGAGTTGGGGGAGTCTTTTTAATATACAGTTAATGTCCTTAATTAGATATCTAGCAATGATTCCCATTATCCAATATTAATTTTATGTCATCAAACACTTTCAGGAGTTTTTTTCCAGCTAAAAAAAGTTAATAACAATGCGGTGACTCACGCCTGTAATCCCAGCACTTTGGGAGGCAGAAGTGGGTGGATCTCTTGAGGTCGGGAGTTCAAGACCAGCCTGACCAACATGGAGAAACCCCATTTCTAATAAAAATACAGATTAGCTGGGCGTGGTGGCACATACCTGTAATCCCAGCTACTTGGGAGACTGAGGCAGGAGAATCGCTTGAACCTGGGAGGTGGAGGTTGCAGTGAGCCAAAATCATGCCATTGCTCTCCAACCTGGGCAACAGGAGGAAAACTCCGTTTCAAAAAAAGGTTAATAAACCTCCAATTTGGGGACATGTACATGTGCAAGCAGGTAACTCCTTTGATTTATACCTACTATGATGCCTGCCTCACAATTAAAACATTTCTCAGTTGCTTGTACATTTTTGTTTGTTTATTTGAGATAGGATCTCTGTCACCCAGGCTGGAGTGCAGTGGTGTGATTATGACCTCTTGCAGCCTGGACCTCCTGGACTCAAGCAATCTTTCCATCTCAGCCTTCTGAGTAGCTGGGATTACAGGCACACGCCACCAAGCCCAGCTAATTTTTAAATTTTTCTTGTTGAGGCGAGGTCACACTATGTTGCCTAGGCTGGTCTAGAACTCCTTGGCTCGAATAATCCTCCTGCCTTGGCCACCCAAAGTGTTGGGATTATAGGCATGAGCCACTACACCTAGCTTACAGTTTTTTTTGTTTTTTTTTGTTTTTTTAAAAGTAGTTTACTCATCTATGTAGAAGCTTTGGGGTAACTTTGGCTTTATTAATTCAATAAATACTTACGGAGCATCTATCAGGTGCCGGGTAATCTACTAGGTGATACTCAATCTATAAGGCATAGTCCCTGTCCTCAAGGGATTTATAAGCTTATAAATTTTACCTTACAGTGGGAGATAAATAAACAGGTAATTATATCCAGCATACTCCATCATGGTAAGTAATATGAGGGAGTAGACGGTAGGATGGTGGGCACGTAGCTGGGAGCCCCTAACCCAGCCTCGTGAGTGCAGTCGGGGAAGGCCTCCAAGAGACGGTCAGCCAAGGTAAGGTCCCAAATGGGACAAAGAGGAGAAGGAGTGGAGTGCTGGAAGTTGTTTTAAAGAAGGAAGACGCCTGTGTGAAAGCTGGGCGAGTCTGGCTTATTTGGGGGGATTGCATTGCTTCAGCACAGCTGCAGGGTACAGTGGTAGGGCAGGTGGACTGGAAAGAGAACCTTGGGAAGGGACTTTTTCTGACAAGGAGATTGGACTTTATTCTGAGAATGGCTACAGTAAGTATACAAACTCCAGAGGGTTATAAGCAAGGGGGTGACATCAGGGCAGAGATGGGAGGGCAGGAGAGGAGGAGAGCCCTACCAGGCAGAGGCTGTGCCAGCACTTCATCTCTAGGGATTAAGGTGCCTAGATTAAGGAGGGCCCAGGAGTGAGGTGCTGCATCTGGTATGGTCCCCCATCCTAGCTAGCAGTATGAGTGTGGCCAGAAAGACTGATGGCTGGGACAGCCGCCTTTCCAGTTGATCTGTGGTTTTAACCAGGAGTTGTGAACCATTGTATTCCTGTGGTATGGTTCTACACTGTTCCAGCTGCCTTTAATTAAAATAAACACCTTGAGGGATAATGGGTGACTTTAAAGTTTGTATTTAAAATACAATATTTTTGTTTGTATTTTCTTTTTCTTTTCTTTCTTTTTTTTTTTTTTTGGAGACAGGGTCTTACTCTGTTGTCCAAGCTGGAGTGTAGTGGTGCAATCACAGGTCACTTCAGCCTCAACCTCCTGGGCTTAAGCAGTTCTCCCACCTCAGCCCCCCAAGTAGCTGGGACTACAGGCATATACCAATCATACCTAACTAATTTTTAATTTTTTTTTGTGGAGACAGGGGTCTTGCCATGTTCATCCAAGTTTCAAACTGAGCTCAAGTGATTCTCCTGTCCCAGCATCCCAAAGTGCTGGAGATTACAGGCATGAGCCACTGTTAAGCTTATTTGTATTTTTAGTTTTCTTATAGTGAATGTAAAGATATGCATAATTCATTTTATTTATTTATTTATTTATTGAGATGGAGTCTCCCTCTTGTTGTCTAGGCTGGAGTGCAATGGCAGGATCTCAGCTCACTGCAACCTCTGCCTCCCGGGTTCAAGCGATTCTCCTGCCTCAGCCTCCGGAGTAGCTGGGATTACAGGCACGTGCCACCACACCCGGCTAATTTTTGTATTTTTAGTAGAGACGGGGTTTTACCATGTTGGTCAGGCTGGTCTCAAACTCCTGACCTCATGATCTGCCCGCCTCTGCCTCCCCAAGTGCTGGGATTACAGGCGTGAGCCACCGCGCCTGGCCTGCATAATTCATTTATTCAACATATATATAATTATTAGAACTCCCCTGTCCCATCTTCCACCAATAAATGAGCCATCTTGTCTCGAATTCAGAGATGTTGGCCCAGGGATTCATCAGGTAACATAAAGAATATGGGAGGCCAGGTGTGGTGGCTCACTCCTGTAATCCCAGCACTTTGGGAGGCCAAGATGGACAGATCACTTGAGGTCAGGAGTTTGAGACCAGCCTGGGCAACATGGTGAAACTCCTTCTCTACTAAAAATACAACAATTAGCTGGGCATGGTGGTGTGTGCCTGTAATCCCAGCTACTCAGGAGGCTGGGGCTCGAGAATTTCTGGAACTTGGGAGGTGCAGGTTGCAGTGAGCTGAGATTGCGCCGCTCCACTCCAGCCTGAGTGACAGAGTGAGACTGACTCAAAACCAAACAAAACAAAGAACATGGGCCTAAGTCCCTGTGCCCTGGTCATGTTCTGCCCTTTGTGTTCATACCACCTAGGGCACCCATCATCTCTAGAAAGTGTCCTTGTCTCCCAGGTGCACTGATACTGCTCTGATCTATGCAGAGTCCTATGAAGATCAGAGGCATAATGAATATCATTATGATTTACAAGGTAGTATAGTAATAACCACTTTTGTTGTACATTAGTTAATGTACCGATATCCCACGGCTGTATAGCAATATCCCACTATAAGGCACCTGAAATCTTCTCCGGTCTGCTATACATTTGTTCTTATTAACTTGATGGACATTAAATTAACTTGCTTCAGCATGTTGCATCCTTTTCCTGTTCTCAGGACCTGGCCATGCGCTGATTGAGCAGTGGAATCCTGTAGGCCTGGTTGGAATCATCACGGCATTCAATTTCCCTGTGGCAGTGTATGGCTGGAACAATGCCATTGCCATGATCTGTGGAAATGTCTGCCTCTGGTAAGACCTGCTCACTTTCCTCTCTAGTAGTGAGTGATAAAAATAGCATTTCTAGATACTACTGCCTCAGCCTCTTGAGTAACTGGGATTATAAGTGTGTGTCGCTACACCTGGCTTCTTCAATAACACTTTATTTTATCTTTTTTTGAGATGGAGTTTCACTCTTGTTGCCCAGGCTAGAGCACAATGGTGTGAACTCAGCTCACTGCAACCTCCGCCTCCCAGGTTCAAGCAATTCTCCTGCCTCAGCCTTCCAAGTAGCTGGGATTACAGGCATGTGCCACCACGCCCAGCTAATTTTTTGTATTTTTAGTAGAGATGGGGTTTCACCATGTTGGCCAGGCTAGTTTTGAACTCCTGACCTTAGGTGACCCACCTGCCTCAGCCTCCCAAAGTGTTGGGATTACAGGTGTGAGCCATTGCACCTGGCTAGTAAAACTTTGATAGTAAACTCCCAAGTAATTCTGAGGCACTTGGTCAGTGTTCTCATTTAGGTCTTAAATTTTTCAACTTACAAAATATTTGATAGTAAAAATGTCTGTATATTATAGATGGCAAACAGTTACTTGTTTTTTGCTTTTGTGTTCAGTGGAAGAAATTCAATGAGAAAAATCAGGACAATTGTTTTTGGCTCATTTTGCTTACGTCTGTTCCACTAGTTATTAATTTAGTTTAAATGTGTGGTACTCAGTTGAATCTATTCAAAAACTATAAAATAGGACATATTTGGGAGGACTAATAATTTGTACCATGTGGTGAAGCAAACTCATGTTTTCCTACATTCTAATCCAAAAAAGGCTCATTGTGTAGTTTTCCTCGGCTCTCTGAGTTTTCCAAGGAAAGTTTAGTTAATGCAGCACGTTGGTAGATTTCTGCTTCACTCATTTCCCATAATTGACTGAGGTTAATGTAATGATTCCTGCGATTAGTGCAGCAAGCTGATTCAGAATTGCTTGGTGCCATTTTTGTGTTCATGAAAGTTTTGTTGTTCCTTAGGTCTCAAAGACACCTAGCTAAAGGACAGATTTCTATTTCAGTTACTAGACTCATTTGTCAGTTGTCTGATTGGACAGAGCGTTTTCTCACACTTTTGCGTCTGTTTGATAATAAAAGGTATTTATGGTTTCTGTCAATAAGTTTTTCTTTTTCTTTTTTTGTTTTAACCTTCTTAAGGAAAGGAGCTCCAACCACTTCCCTCATTAGTGTGGCTGTCACAAAGTAAGTACGTGTGGCTTTCTTTTTCCTGGGTATGGAATGATATCGAAAGGGTGATTAATAGCCATGACTTTTTAATCTGATGTCAAAGAGTCACATAGCATGGAATTTGGATAACCTCTTTCTCCTTTGCTTATAATATTATTTTTATATACAGAGTGCTTTCAGTGCCATGTCATTTAATTTAACTCTTTGGAAACATGCCAGATATTGACATATTGATTGAACACTTGCAGACATTATTTTGTCACTTGGAAAATAAAAGCATCTTCAGTGGAAAGGAAATTTTTGCAATTTAGGAGCTATATTTTCTCACTATTCAACAAGTTAATGGTTTTGAGAATAGATTTCTATACAGTTAATACTTACATTGCTTTTGCTTAATAGAGTGTTAACAAACTTGATTATTATACTAATCTGATTCATCTAACACTGAAATGTATTGCATCTTTTGGTTAAACAATTATTAGTGTTTTACTTGTATTTGAGAACTTGGGAGCTCTGATTAAGTCATAAAAGCAATGTGACTGATGTATCATTCTGGAATTTGGAGGATATATAGAGTTAGGGTGCCTTCCCATGTAGGATTAGGATGTACCTTTGATGTTCCATTGCTTGCCTGGTCTGCATTCTGATTTCAGAATTATTAGTAGAGAAATTGGGGTGGAGTCTGTGGGCAAGAGGGTTCTTCATATTAGAAGATTATTGTTATTATTATTATTTTTGAGATGGAGTCTCGCTTTGTCACCCAGGCTGGAGCACACTGGCACAATCTCAGCTCACGGCAACCTCCTACTCCCTGGGTCAAGTGATTCTTCTGCCTCAGCCTCCCAAGTAGCTGGGATTACAGGCATTTGCCACCACGCCCAGCTAATTTTTATATTTTTAGTAGAGATGGGGTTTCACCATGTTGACCAGGATGGTCTCGATCTCCTGACCTCGTGATCCACCTGCCTCAGCTTCCCAAAGTGCTGGGATTACAGGCATGAGCCACTGCGCCCAGCCTAGACAATTATTTAGAATAGTGGCTTAGGAATTGGAAAGTGGTGGGCTGGAAAAGAGCAAGGGTAATTGTTTTATTTTTTATTTTTTATTTTTTTTTGAGACAGAGTCTTTGTTGCCCGGGCTGGAGTGCAGTGGGGCCATCTCAGCTCACTGTAGTTTCTGCTTCCTGGGTTCAAGAGATTCTCATGCTTCAGCCTCCCGAGTAGCTGGGATTACAGGTGTGGGTCACCACGCCGGGCTAATTTTTTTTTTTAAGAGAGAGTCTCGCTCTGTCGCCCAGGCTGGAGTGCAGTGGCACAATCTTGGCTGACTCCAACCTCTGCCTCCCAGGGTCAAACGATTCTCCTGCCTCAACCTCCCAGGTAGCTGGGATTATAGGTGCATGCCACCATGCTTGGCTCATTTTTTCTTTTTTTTTTTTTTGAGACGGAGTCTTGCTCTGTCGCCAGGCTGGAGTGCAGTGGCGTGATCTCTCGGCCCACTGAAACCTCCGCTTCCCGGGTTCAAGCGACTCCCCTGCCTCAGCCTCCTGAGTGGTTGGGGCTACAGGCATGCGCTACCACGCCTGGCTAATTTTTTGTATTTTAGTAGAGATGGGGTTTTACCATGTTGACCAGGATGGTCTCAATCTCCTGACCTCATGATCTGCCTGCCTCAGCCTCCCAAAGTGCTGGGATTACAGGCGTGAGCCACCATGCCCGGCTAGCTAATTTTCATATTTTTAGTAGACATGGGGTTTCACCATGTTGTCCAGGCTGGTCTTGAACTCCTGGCCTCAAGTCATCTGCCTGCCTCGGCCTCCCAAAGTGCTGGGATTACAGGCATGAACCCCTGCCCGTGGCCTAAAAATAAAACAAACAAACAAAAAAACAGCAGAATAATTAATGTGGAAGTAGTGAACTAACAATTGTTACGAAGTAGTTGGTTAAAATTTTGTCCATTTTGATACCGGTTTTGCTTTAAGCTTTTTTTTTGTTTTAAAGAGTTGAAGAATTTGAAATGTTCGTGTAAGAGTTTATGTGCGGGTTGATAGTTTTCAAAGCATTGAAAATGTTCTTTGCTTTTGTAACGGAAGATGGTAAGTAAAATGATGCTACATTTTGCTGGAATTAACTAAGGGTGATGCAGTGCCACAAGGCGGTCTTCTTAAGTTCAACTAAATTTTCAGATTCCTTAGATGAGCACAGGCCACATATGGTTCTTCTGTGTATTCAGAAGGATATAGTACGGGAGCATAGCTTGTCAGGAGGGTGGCATCAGGTATTCCTCTTCAATCAGTGTTCTCGTCATAGTCACGTAGGTACAAGGAAGTGAGAGCCACATTGGAGAGGTGTGGGGTTTACCCTGGCTTAAAGCCTAATGCCCCACAGAAACAAAAATCTCTTGTAACAATTGTAGCTTTCAGGGGCCACAGGGACATGCAGTTACAAGTGTCACTGCACTCAGGAAAGACCAAAAAGCATGGCATTCCCATTAATAGCTCATAGATAGTTATCCCAGTTCAGATGGAAGTGACCAGGCAGGGGTCATGTTTACCGTAAGCCGGGTTGTCTAAGAAACACTGACGACACTCTGACACTTTCCAGGTAACACGGAGAACAGAGCTAGAGTTCAACTTAAAGTTAGAGTCTCATCTTAGGGGTAGGGGTTTGTTAACCTTTACCCATAGGCACAAAACAAAAGCCTTGCCCTTAAAGAGAGTACAGTCTACTTGTGCAGACAATATAGACACCCGAAATCCCTGGAAAGAATTGTACATCCTGAAACCTGGTCTTGGACTTGAGAGCTGGAGTTCATGATCCTTGAGTGGATCCTGGATTGGAAGGAAGAAAGAAAACAGCTATAAAGGGTATTTTAGGGGAACTTAGGTGTGATAATGGTACCTTTTCTATGAAAGTGAGTATGGGATTTGGGTCTTTTTGAAGTTTAAACAAATTGGAAAGTAGCCAGTAAGTTGAGATGATTGATGAAAATAACCTTTGCTCTATTGGTCCTCTGGAAACGCAAAATGAATGGAATCCTTTTTCAGAGAAACCAGAATTATTTTAGCCATTTTTTTTTAAAATAACTCAAAATCAGATTTAAGTAGCATTTAAATGTATTTCTCATTTTAACAAGAGAAAAACCTCTGCTTGTCCACAATTCTGTAGCCTGTAGGGCGCTGATATTTTCTGACCGACATGGTTTGGTGGGAACTAGCCCCAAGCTCTTTCAGGGTTCTGCAGGGTGGCCCCAGCTCCTTCTTTTGTGTCTGTGGCATTTACTTTAGGTTTTGAGGATCCCGTCCTCTTCCCCAATTTGTGCTTTATAACTTCTCTAACTCTGCTTTGCAGAGATGTGTTTAAATCTCTTATTTGCTGGTGGGGACCACCTCTAATTTCCTTCATCGTTCTAGGTCTTATTCCTTTTTATTTTCCTTTTTAATCACATTTTAATAGATTTGTGTAAGACCAAAATAAATAAATTAAATAAATAAATAAATGGCCCAGTGATCAGTCTGCTGTCTTGAACCAGATGTGTCCTCACAGTTTGGTAGAAAATACTTGAAAACAATGACAATTTGAGCTACTTAAACAATGCTTTGTGTCTTCTATTTATGTTCTATGTTCTTTTCTTCTTCTAAAAAGTTTTTTTTTTTTTTTTTTTTTGAGATAGAGTCTTGCTCTGTCTCCCAGGCTGGAGTGTAGTGGCAGTATCTTGACTCACTGCAGCCTCCACCTCCCGGGTTCAAGTGATTCTCCTTCCTCAGCCTCCTGAGTTGGTGGGATTACAGGCTCCCACCATCACTCCTGGCTAATTTTTATATTTTTAGTAGAGATGGGTTTTCACCATGTTGGCCAGGCTGGTCTTGAACTCCTGACCTCAAGTGATCCACCAGCCTCGGCCTCCCAAAGTGCTGGGATTACAGGCATGAGCCACCACACCTGGCCTCAAGATTCTTTTAGGACAAAAAAAAAAAAAAAAAAAAAAAAATTCTGCTAATAGTTTTTTGAAAATGGCATTTTCAATATGTGAGGAGAAATCCAGGTCTGAATGTTTGAGGGCAGAGTCTGGTATAAGAGTGTTCTTAATGTTAGAAGGCCATTTAGGAACAGTGACTTAGAAATTGAAAAGTGGGCTGAAAAAGCAAGAGAGTAGTATATTTGAGGGATGGGAGAGAAAGTTGAAAAAAGGAGAGTCAAGTGGTTGCAATTTATTCCTTGTTTTTAAAAAAATGACTTCAGAAATTAAATTATTGCCTCAATAATTGCTTTTTCCTTTCTAGGATAATAGCCAAGGTTCTGGAGGACAACAAGCTGCCTGGTGCGATTTGTTCCTTGACTTGTGGTGGAGCAGATATTGGGTAGGTTATTAGGCTGAGAGCATCCTCTGTTGAAGGACCCCAGGTTCACCAACTAGAATCATCGTTACTAGAATAATGAACTCACTTTTTTTTTTTTTTTTTTTTTGAGACGGAGTCTCGCTCTGTTGCCCAGGCTGGAGTGCAGTGGCCGGATCTCAGCTCACTGCAAGCTCCGCCTCCCAGGTTCACGCCATTCTCCTGCCTCAACCTCCCGAGTAGCTGGGACTACAGGCGCCTGCCACCTCGCCCGGCTAGTTTTTTGTATTTTTTTTAGTAGAGACGGGGTTTCACCGTGTTAGCCAGGATGGTCTCGATCTCCTGACCTCGTGATCCACCCATCTCGGCCTCCCAAAGTGCTGGGATTACAGGCTTGAGCCACCACGCCCGGCCATGAACTCACTTTTAACTAAGGAGTTGAGAATGGTTTTTGAAATCATTATTATTATGGAGTTTGTTGGGTTCTTATTGTATTAATGCCTAACCTCTATTGGAGGATGAATAAGAATCGTCTTTTTAATTGCCCAGAGGTACTGTTTCTAAGGTGTTTATATCCTGAAATAACAAACTGCTGTAATGGGGGGCAGCCTGTGACTTCCTGACACTTGGTTTGTCAAGGTGTTTACTTACAAAGAAAGCTATGAAATTGTAGTCTGGGGTCTCACTGCCTGCCGAGAACCTAGCCTATTGTCTGAGTTTCTCAGCTGACCGAAAAAGGAAACCCTGGGAACACAGCCTCTTTTTAGTAAAATTGTTTTTTTCTTTTTAAATTGCCATATAATTCACAATTTGTATACCATAAAATCCTCTCTTTTAAAGTGTACAATATAGTGGTTTTAAAAATATTCAGGCTATTGTACAACTATCACCACTATCTTTTTCCAGAACATTTTGATGAGCCCAGAAAGTAATCCCATACCCATTGGCAGTCTCTTCCCATTCCCCCTGCTCTCATGCCCTGACAGCCACTAAAGAATTTTCTGTCTCTATGGATTTGCCTATTTGAGACATTTTGTACAAATGTAGTTATATAATATGTGGCCTTTTGTGTCTTGCTGCTTTTACTTGGCATGATACTAAGATGACGTGGACTATAATCGTGCTGAACTGGGATAAAAGCTGAGGTTCTTATCAGCTTAGACTTTGATTAGGTGAGTTTTCCAGGAGTCAAGTCTTACAACCCATACTGGTGTGGCTAAAGTGTTAGTTTCCTCGCCTTCCCACACTTTTAATATACCGTTGTACTTACTGGGCAATCTCAAAAAGGAGCAATAAGTTACTCTGTTTTTCATATTAATGAGAAAATTTTACAAAATACAACTCCCACATGTACAATGCAGAGTGAAATATTATCTAAGGGTCATTTAAAACATGAGTCGGCCTTTGACTTCTTGCATTCTGGGTATCTAGTGCTTGTGTTGGCCTTGCAATAGCTCAGATAATTATGGTGGTATATGCAGGAGCATGTTAAGCAGCAGCCACTTTGAGTATTAGTGCTCATGCTTGCTAGGTTGAACCTCGGAAGACTGACCTAGGTAACTGAGCCAAGCCGTACACCCCTACATTAGACTGATGCTATGGCTGCCCCGCTTGGCTAACACTGGACCTTTTGTAGCACTGAACTAGAAACAGAGAGGTTCAAATCAGTAATGTCTGATTTGCATTCCTTAGAAGCAACTGGAAATCCTAGCATAGCCTTTGTAAGTCAACTTCCGTGAGGAATACTTTAGGATAGCGGTCCCCAACCTTTCTGGCACCAGGGACTGGGGCTGGTTTAGTGGAAGACAATTTTTCCGTGGACCACGGCAGGGGGATGGTTTTAGGATGAAATTGTTCCATCTCAGATCATAAGGCATTAGTTAGATTCTTATAAGGAGCATGCAATCTAGATCCCTTGAATGCACAGTTCACAATAGGGTTCACACTCCTATGAAAATCTAATGCTGCCGTTGATCTGACAGGAGGTGGCGCTCAGGCAGTAATGCTCGTTGGGTCGCCTGCTGCCTACCTCCTACTGGTTCCTAATAGGCCACAGACTGGTAGTGGTCGGCATCCTGGGGCTTGGGGACCCCTGCTTTAGGATATTTCCCTACAGGCTTTTAAGTTTTAATTCTTTTATTTTTATTTTTTTGAGATAGGGTCTCACTCTGTCACCTAGGCTGGAGTGCAGTGGCTCGATCTCAGCTCACTGCAACCTCCGCCTCCCAGGTTCAAGTGATCCTCCCACCTCAGCCTCCCAAGTAGCTGGGACTACAGGCGCATGCCTGCACACCTGGCCAATTTTAGTATTTTATGTAGAGACGGGGTTTCATCGTGTTGCCTAGGCTAGTCCTGCCCAAGTTTTAATCCTTAAAGGAATTACACAGCAGTTAAAAGTCTGTAAAACTGGAATGCTCAGCAAGGAAATGCTAAGATCATATTGTCCAGTCACTCACTCAGTATAGGAAAGACTTTCTTCCCTAACAACTTCCTCTAGGTGATTTCTATTCACAGCAGGGTAGCCTCTTCTGCCATATGGTTCTACTTGTGAAAAACTTTTTTCCTTCTCCTGAAGACGTTCCCTTGCTCCCCTGGGACAGACTTTCTTGTAGCTTCGAGGGACTGCTTTTCCAAGGGCACTTCAGTGCTGGGTACCATTAGAAGTTGTCATTGCTGGGTTTCTCTGCTTGGGTGACCGACCATGTCTGTTCCCTTGCAGCACAGCAATGGCCAAAGATGAACGAGTGAACCTGCTGTCCTTCACTGGGAGCACTCAGGTGGGAAAACAGGTGGCCCTGATGGTGCAGGAGAGGTTTGGTAAGTGTTGGCTTTCTAATGAGGATTGTAATTCTCTCAAATATGGAGGTGAAATCTAAAAGTTGAGTTTTTGTTTTCCCCTCAACCTTTTCCATGGAGGCAGTGGTCATGTTTATTTGAATGTCTAAGTAAAAGAAAAGGGTACAGTTATTAGCAGTTGAATATTAGGGAAGTCTTAAATTTAAATACCAAAATTTATGAAAATATGAGCACTTTGGGAGGCCGAGGCAGGCAGATCACAAGGTCAGGAGATCGAGACCATCCTGGCTAACACAGTGAAACCCCGTCTCTACTAAAAATACAAAAAATTAGCCGGGCGTGGTGGCGGGCGCCTGTAGTCCCAGCTACTCGAGAGGCTGAGGCAGGAGAATGACTTGAACCTGGGAGGTGTAGCTTGCAGTGAGCCAAGATCGTGTCACTGCACTCCAGCCTGGGTGACAGAGCGAGACTCCATCTAAAAAAAAATTTATGAAAGGAAGTCATTTTCTCTCTAAATGGGTATAATTGAATCACGTAGAATATTTATGTTTGAAATGTTTGTTTTTTCATACTGTAAAGAAATAGTACTTGAACATAAATTTATTTAGTAAGGCCATTTTTACTTCCTGTAGAAAGGGTACACTCGCCAGTAGTTTTGGCACGAGAGTACACTGGACAAAGGAGACAGGGTCATTTATAACCTGACGCGTCCACTCTACTGCTATGTCCGGTTTCCATTGGCTGGAATGGAACCTCACATTTTGTATTGGTCCCAATTGGCTAGCAACTTAGAACTTTTTAAAAGAGGCAAAGGTAGAGGAGAACAAAGGAAGGAGAAAGCAACTTGAGGAATGCTGAGGAAAGTAAAAACACTTTTAAATAAGGAAGAGGAACAGGCTATAACCTAATGTGTACTTGGACCAGTATAAGCATGCCAGGGCAAATATTTAGGAGCACAGGTCTTTGAATAAATTTTGCTTTTAAGAGAAGTTATTTAGTTTTAATTAGATGGGGAGGAAAGTCTTTGAAGAGGAACCTCTACTTACTTTTTACACTTATCAAATTGTACTAGTCCTGTTTCGCAAATTAAATAAGAAAAATGTCATTTCTCATTAATATAGTGGTGAGAAAAATGTCATCATTTAAACAGGAGCACTGAGTACAGAACTTACAGTGAGTTGGAATAGAAGGCTTAAATCTGCTCTTTCATGTATATGAATCATATATATGGATCATGGATATGTATCCATATGCATATGGATCATGGATATGGATCATGGATACATGATTGAAAAGAGTTGTATAGACATAGCTTTGTATACTGTACTGTGCTTTATGAATGATTTCTAAGGTTTTCGAGGATAACACTGGCTATCGATTTTTGGCTGTTAGGCTGAATTTTAGACTTTAACCCCAGCATAAGACAAAATTTGACTAATCTGTCAACTGTTTAACTATGTAGGCGTTGCTTTTTATTAGGCAAAGCAATTTATTAAAAAACAGCTAATAAAAAAGGTCAGCAAGGTTGCAGAACTCAAGATTGAGATACAAAAATCAATTATATTTTTATGCGTTAACAATGAATAATCCAAAAATGAAATCCAGAAAACAATTTATTTAGTAGTAGCATCAAAAAGAATAAAATACTTAGGAATACATTTAACAGAAGAAGTGTAAGTCTGTTGCATGGAGCACTAAAATCATCATAAAAATAAATTACAGATGACCTAAATAAATGAGTAGATATCCCCTTTTCAGTTTTTGGAAGATTTAATGTTGTAAAGGTATCAATATGGTCCACATGATCTACAGATTCAATGCAATTCCTGTAAAAATCCCAGTTTTCTGTCTTATAACAATTGACAAGTTAGTCCTAAAATTAATATGACAATGCAAAGGACCCTAAAAAGCCAAAGCAATCTTGAAAAAGAAGAAAATTGAAGGACTGTCACTTCTTAGTCAGAAAATTTATGGCAAAACTATGATAATCAAGACTATGTGGCACCAGCATACGGATAGACATAAAAATCAATGGAATAGAATTGGAAGTCCATAAATAAACTCTTGCATTTATGGTCAGTTGTGTCAAGGGTGACAAGACATTTCAATGGGGAAAGGATGGTCTTTTTAACAAATGGTACTGACACAACCAGCTGTCTATACACATGAGTGTGAAGTCAGACCCCCACTACATCTCCTATGCAAAGACAAACTCAAAATGTATCAAAGACCTTTAAAACTCTTAGAAGAAAACATAGGAATAAGTTTTCGTGACCTTGGATTAGGCGATAGTTTCTTAGAAATGACAACTAAAGCACAAGCAACAACAATTAAAAGACAAATTAGTTTTTATCAAAATTAAAGCACTTTGTGATTCAAAGGACATCAGAAAAAAGTGAAAAGAACAACCTACAGAATGGCAGAAAATGTTTGGAAGTCATTTGATAAGGAACTTGTATGTGGAATATCTAAAGAACTCTTCAAATTTAAGAATATGAAAGACAACGCAATTAAAAATGGGCATTGGATTTGAATAGACATCTTTTTTTTTTTTTCTCTTGAGATGGACTCTCACGCTCTGTTACCCAAGCTGGAGTGCAGTGGGGGAGATCCCGGCTCATTGCAACCTCCGCCTCCTGAGTTCAAGCGATTCTTCTGCCTCAGCCTCCCAAGTAGCTGGGACTACAGGCATGTGCCACCATGCCTAATTTTTGTATTTTTAGTAGAGACAGGGTTTCACCATATTGGCCAGGCTGGTCTTGAACTCCTGACCTCGTGATCCGCCCACCTTGGCCTCCCAAAGTGCTGGGATTACAAGCAATGAGCCACCGCACCAGGCCTAGAATAGACATCTTAAATGGCCAATTAGCACATGAAAAGATTCTCAACATCATTAGTTCCACTAGCAGATTTCATCTTCTCAGCTTTCTCCCCTTTTCCTTACTCAAGGCAGTAGTTTGTTGTTCTTGGCTAAGTAGTAGTAGTAGTAGTAGTAGTAGTAGTAGTAGTAGTAGTAGTAGTAATAGAATTATAATTTTTAAAATGTGTCTGCCTCTCTTAAGTTATAGGTGCTTTTCTTGGAGGAGTTGGTGGTTAGGAGTATAGTCAGAGAGTGCCTGATAGAGAACTGGAAGGATGTAGAAAGTATAGATCCCTCCTCTTCTGCCAAACATCACTTGCAGCCAGGCAGGAGAAGCTAATGGCAGGTGTAAAAGCTTCTGTTTCCTTCCTTCTCTTCTTAACACCTAGCATAGTGCTATGCTATAGCCAGCAAACTGTCATTAATTCAATGATTGCAGCAGAGACTAGAGATGGTGTAGCATTTGGTGGCTTTTGGTAATAACAGCCACATCTTCATAATTAATATTCACTTGATGCTTACCTGTTTCAGAGCAATGAAAATGAGAAGATACTCTCCTGTTGTCACATATGCTCCTGATACCACAAATGAATAAAAGTTATTCACATGGAAGCTGATTTTAAAGTGCACTTAAGGAAATTTATGGTCAAAAGATCATTAATAAATGTATGTCTAAGGCCGGGCAAGAGTTCAAGACCAGCCTGGGCTAGACTGTGAAACTCCCATCCCTACTAAAATACAAAAAAATTAGCTGGGTGTGGCAGCATGCCCAGCTACTCGGGAGGCTGAGGCAAGAGAATTGCTTGAACTCAGAGGCAGAGGTTGCAGTGAGCTGAGATTGCACTACTGCACTCCAGCCTGGGCAACAGAGTGAGAGTCTGTCTCAAAAATAAATAAATAAACATATGTCTAAAATTGAGGCAAACAAATCTCTCAGATCTTTATGCTGGGAGGAGTAAGGTAAGAATGGCCATTTATTCGGGGGCCAGCGTTGTTAGTTATGGCGACCGTATATCTTGTGAATCCAGCCACTTTTGGAGGCCAGTGGGTGGGTGCGGATCACTGGAAGCCAGGAGTTTGAGACCAGAGCCTGGGCAACATTGTGAAACCCATCTCTTAAAACAAAACAAAACAAAACAAGCCAGGTGTTGTGACACATGCCTGTTGTCTGAGCTACTTGGGGAGGCTGAGGATGGAGGTTGCTTGAACCCAGAAATTGAGGCTGCAGTGAGCTCATGATAGCACCATTGTATTCCAGCCTGGGTGACTCTTAAAAAAAGAAAGGGAAAAAAAAATGGTGGCTGGTTGCGGTGGCTCAAGCTTTGTAATCCTAGCACTTTGGGAGGGGCCGTGGCGGGCGATCACCTCGGGTCAGGAGTTCAAGACCAGCCTGGCCAACATGGCAAAACCCTGTCTCTAATAAAAAATACAAAATGAGCTGGGCGTGATGGTGCATGCCTGTGTCCCAGCTACTTGGGAAGCTGAGACAGGAGAATCACTTGAATTCAGGAGCGGGAGGTTTGCAGTGAGCTGAGATCACGCACTGTACTTCCAACCTGGGCCACAGAGCAAGACTCCGACTGAAATGAAGAAAAGAATGGCACTCATGGCCCGCTATATAAACTTTTCTAGAATATAGGTTGGCAGTGTCTATCAGAGTCCTAACCTAAGTAGATAATCAACAAATATATTAAACACTGGAGAAACAGCTAAATAAAATTTGGTATGTCTTCATGATGGAATGCTGTGGAGTGATTTTTCTTTTCATGACTCTTAATGACTTAGGGGAAAGGTGTAAGACATCAGAAATAAAGTAAAATGAAATAATTCTCAACTAAATATAAATCACAGGAGAAAAGATTGGAAGCACTATCAAATTGTAAGGAGAGATTTTTGTGGTGGCCTTATGGGCCATAGGTTTCTTTCTTTCTTTTTTGATTGTGGGGGAAAGTCCACCAACATAAAATTTACTTAGAAATTGGTTAACATGGTACACAGTGTCAGCTAGTGTCAAAGTACATTCACAATGTCTTACAGCCTATCTTTTAGAAACTTTTTTCATCTTGTAAAACTGAAGTCCATAGCCTATAAACCTAATCCCTCCTTCCCCTACCAACCCAGGCCCTTGGTAGCCACCCTGTCTACTTTCTTTCTGCTTTCATTGATATGGACTATTTACATTTGAGTGGGGTTGTAAGTATTTGTCCTTTGGTGAACTACCTTATTTCACTTAACATAATGTCTACAAGGTACAACCATGGAGTCTCACTCTGTTGCCAGGCTGGAATGCAGTGGTGTGATCTCAGCTCACTTGCCAACCTCTGCGCCTCCTGGGTTTTCAGCAATTCTTCTGCCTCAGGCCTCCCGAGTAGCTGGGATTACAGACATCGCCACCACAGCAACCGCTAATTTTTTGTATTTTTAGTAGAGACTAAAATCCCAAAGTGCTGGGATTACAGCCACCGCGCCCAGCCCAACGTACAACCATCTTGTAGCATGTAGTAGGATTTCCTTTTTAAGGCTCTATGATAAGCTGGATGTCGTGGCTCATGCCTGTAACCCTAGCACTTTGGGAGGCCAAGGTGGGAGGATCTTTTGAGCCCAGGAGTTCGAGACCAGCCTGGGCAACATGCCAAGATCCTGTCTCTGCCAAAAAAAAAAGTACAAAAATGAGCTGGGCATGGTGGTGCATGCCTGTTGTCCCAGCTACTTAGGAGGCTGAGGTGGGGGAATTGCTTGAGCCCAGGAAGTTGAGGCTGCAGTAAGCCATGATCGTGCCAGTATAGCCCAGCCTGGGCAACAGAATCAGACCCTGTCTCAAAAAAAAAAAATTAATAAAATAAAAATGTAAAAAGGCTGCATATTTCATTGTTTTTATATGCCACATTTACTTTACTAATTCATCAGATGATGCACATTTGGGTTGCTGCCACATTTTGGCTATTGTGAATTATGCTACTATGAATATTGGTGTACAAATATCTACAGAGTCCCTGCTTTTACTACCTTTGGTTATATACTCAGAAGTGGAATTACTCGATCATATGGTAATTAATTAATTAATTCATTCATTCATTTACTTAGTTGAGACAGTCTCATTCTGTTGGCCCAGGCTGCAGTGCAGTGGTGCGATCACGGCTCACTGTTGTCTCAAATTCCTGGGCTTCACGAGTAGCTGGGACTATAGGCAGATACTACCATGCCCAGCTAATTTGTTTTAATTTTTGTAGAGACAGGGTCTTGCCATGTTGCCCAGGCTCTGTTGTTTAATTTTTTGGAGCAGTTGCCATACTGTTTTCTACAGTGGCTGTCCCATTTTACTTTATTTTTCTTGAATAATTTCAGACAAGACTGGGCACGTTCAGGGTGGTTTGGTTTGGCTGTAGACTTTCATGTAGAATTTCAAACCTAAAATTATACAACCAACATAAGGAATTCCTGTAAACCCTTTAATCAGAGTCACTAATTGCTTACATTTTGCCCCATTTGATTTATCATTTTCTCTCTCTCCAGCAACATCTATGAGTGCGCGCGCGGGCGCACACACACACATACACACACACACACAACACACTCTCTGTGGGTGCATATTATTGTTGAACTGTTTGGATTAAGTCAAAGATGTGTCCCCTTTATTACTAAATATTTTGGTGTATTTCCTAAGAATGTTGACATTCTCTTGTATAACCACAGTAGTTACTAAAATCAGTACATTTGATATTGATACAATAGTAATGCTACTTTATAAATTAGAAAATCTTAAGTTGAAAAATAATTGGGATAGGGTGTAATCGAGATAGGCTATATGATTGGGATAGGCTATATAAAAAATAATTGGACAGGCTATATAATTTAATAATTGGGATTAGGCTATATGGCAGTGTGCAGTAAACATGGAACTAGGCATTGATTTTTATATATAATTTTTTTTAAAGGGAGAAGTTTGTTGGAACTTGGAGGAAACAATGCCATTATTGGTAAGGCTGCCCCTTTGTTTTTGTTTGTTTTCTGTTCAGTTTCCACAATCGCCATCCTGAATATATGAAACTTGTTTTGGATCTCATTTCTTCCATGTTGCATATGCCTGAGACCTAGTTCCTGTGTTTAGGAATTTTACTTGGGAGACAGGACACAAGCTTGGTTTGAAGGCAGAGGTAACTAAAAAGGAAAGGTATTCATGTTTAGAACATGTTACCTGGGATGATCTAGAACCTGTGAGTGAGACTTCCATTGCCATTGTAGTGTGGCATTATTTATTGTTTTTTCTTCTTCTGTTTGCTGAAAACTGGCCACATTTCTCTAGAATAACTTAAGTAACTCTTATGTAACTTGATCATTTCTTTAGATTTCAAAAACATTATTTTATCTTTAGTGGAATATTGAGTGCTTTTATATTGGTAAAGAACATGTCCCTAAGGCATTACAAAAAAATCACTTACCTATAGGCTTAGAGATTACTTAATACTCTTTTTTAACTGTTTGAGTTTGTCACAAAAATGCTTAGATATTTGTAGTTGACACACATAAGGAGTATGTGTAAGATATAAGAAGTATATGGTGAAGTGTTTGTTCTGGATGAACTTTTTCTGTTGTTTTCGAGATGGAGTCTCACTCTGTCACCCAGGCTGGAGTGCAATGGTGCAATCTACAACCTCCACCTCCCAGGTTCAAGCTATTCTCCTGCCTCAGCCTTCCGAGTAGCTGGAATTACAGGTGCATGCCACCATGCCCAGCTAATTTTTGTATTTTTAGTAGAGATGGGGTTTCACCATGTTGGCCAGGATGGTCTTGAACTCCTGACCTCAGGTGATCCACCTGCCTTGGCCTCCCAAAGTGGTGGGATTACAGGCATAAGCCATCGCACCTGGCCTCTAGATGAACTTTTAAAGAGAGACTTCAGTAAAAAATATAGTTCACATTTAGTGAGCACTAGTGTCTGCCAGGTACTGTGTTCAGCTATTTTATATGCATTATTTCATTTAATCCCTACAACAATCCTATGAAGTAAATATTGCTATTAATCTAATTTGAAGGTTATATTCTGAGACTTACAATGATTATATACCTGAAGTGACAGGATAGCAAATGACAAATGCTAGTATTTGTATCCTGGTAGCCAGACCTCAGAGCACAGCTCTTCCTTATCTACTTACTACCATCCATTATTACCCCAGGCATTATTGCCCCATTTTACAGATGAGGAAACTGAGGCTTGAAAAGTTAAAATAGGCTGAGCGTGGTGACTCACATCTGTAATCCCAGTACTTTGGAAGGCCAAGGTGGGTAGATTACTTGATCCAGGAATTTGAGAGCAGCCTGGGCAACATGGTGAAACCCCACCTGTACAAAAAATACAAAAATTACGTGGGCGTGGTGGTGCACACCTATAGTCCTAGCCACTGAGAGGGGAGGATTGCTTGAGCCCAGGAGGTCAAGGCTGTAGTGCCACCACACTCCAGCCTGGGTGACAGAGTGAGACCCCATCTCAAACAAAAAAAGAACAAACAAACCCCTGAGAAATAAAAGATGAAGAGGCCAGAGGGGCGAGAGCCTCAATTTACCCTTCTATGACCTGGGCAAAGATCATAGAGCTCATAATCTTCCTTGGAAGAAGAGTGTGCCTTTCCCCGTTATGTGTATATATGTCTTTGTGACATTAATATGCTTACTTTACAATAATAGTTTTGATGTTCTTTTACTGCGCTTTATAAAAGCTTTTGCCGGGCATGGTGGCTCATGCCTGTAATCCCAGCACTTTGGGAGGCCAAGGTGAGTGCATCACTTGAGGTGAGGAGTTCGAGACTGGCCTGACCAACATGGTGAAACTCCATTGCTACTAAAAATACAAAAATTAGCTAAGCGTGGTGGTACATCCTTGTAATCCCAACTACTTGGGAGGCTGAGGCAGAATCTCTTGAACCCGGGAGGCGAAGGTTGCAGTGAGCCAAGATTGCGCCATTGCACTACAGCCTGGGCAACAAGAGCAAAACTCTGTCTCAAAAACAAAAACAAAACAAAAAAAAACAAACCAACAAACAAACAAACAAAAAAAACAAAACCAAAACCAGAAAACAACATTGTTTTACACTAGCTAACAAATACCTTGTCTACCTGTTTTGGTTCACTGATGGAAGTGTTTGTGCTTTCCTAAGCCTTTGAAGATGCAGACCTCAGCTTAGTTGTTCCATCAGCTCTCTTCGCTGCGGTGGGAACTGCTGGCCAGAGGTGTACCACTGCGAGGCGACTGGTGAGTATATCTGCATAGGCCCGTGAGATCGTCTTGCTTTTAAAACACTACTTTTTAATGAGTTCTGCTGTTAGGGAGGTGTCAGCAATACTGCTAGAACGATGTGCTCTATAGATGTGGCTGGCAAATATGTGGTGCAGTTCTCTTTCTGTGCTCATGGCAGATGTTGTTAATCAATCAGGGACTTTGCCTTTTTCCCACCCCAAGCTAGTAGGGGTTCTACTACCAATTGATTGGAGTTGGACTAGGAGATGAGATCTATTTTCAGGCCTACTCCTAGAACAATATGGACGAAGTTCAATGTCACTTAGAGAATAAAACAGGATAAAAATAAAACAAATTATTAAACTATAGCTAAAAATAGAGTCTTGCTCTTTTATAAAAACATTTTAAGTAGTAAACCGTGTTAAACATTTTAAGCTGGGCACAGTATCTCAAACATATAATTCTAACTCTTTGGGAGGCTGAGGCAGCAGTATTGCTTGAGCCCAGTAGTTCGAGACCAGCCTGGGCAACATAGTGATTCCCTGTCTCTACAAAAAGTTAAAAAAAATTTAGCAAGGCATGATGGCTCATGCTTGTAGTCCCAGCTACTTGGGAGGCTGAGGCAAGAGGATTGATTGAGCCCAGGAAATGGGCTCAATGAGGCTGCAATGAGCCATGATTTGCACCACTATACACCAGCCTGGGCGACAGGGCAAGACTCTGTCTCTACCAATCAATCAATAAACACTTTAATTTTTAGCCTCAAGTCTAGAATTAGATTTGACTTGAAATGATATGATTCATTGAAAAGCAAATGGCTCTGTATATGTGTGATCTCTCTATATACATATATAGCCTGCATACGTATATATAGAGAGAGGACAGATTAATATGAAGTGTATATAAGGAGATGTGGTTTAGCTTCAGTGTGGGATTTAGGAAGTTTAATCTCTGTACTTAGATTGAGCTGGACTTCAGTTTAGTATGTGTTACAACTTTGATTTTCATGACTTTATGGTACTAAAAGACTATACTATAAGCAAGTTTTTTGCTTTTTTAAATTTATTTTTATTTATTTTTTGAGTTGGAGTCTTGCTCTGTTGCTCAGGTTGGAGTGTAGTGGCGTCATCTTGCTCACTGCAACCTCCACCTGCTGGGTTCAAGCGATTCTCCTGCCTCAGCCTCCTGAGTAGCTGGGACTACAGGCATGTGCCACCCTGCCTGGCTAATTTTTGTATTTTTAGTAGAGACGAGGTTTCACCATGTTGGCCAGGCTGCTCTTGAACTCCTGACCTCAGGTGATCCACCCACCTCGGCCTCCCAAAGTGCTGGGATTACAGGTGGGAGCCACCATGCCCGGCCCTGAGGAAATTTTAGTTAGGTACAAAATTTGGCTGCATTTGCCATTTAAAAAAAATTCTTTTTAAGCTCTGTTGGACTTGAGCCTTTTTTATTATTGTTGAGTTTTCCTTTTGTAATGAAAAAGGAATAATTCAGTTGAATTATTAAGGAATTGGCTTTGGGTTTTTGTTCTCATTTATGATGAGTGTGAACAAATTATAAGACTGACATAATCTAAATTAATTAGAATAAGCTAAAAGATATGAAAATTATCTTTACCTTATACTTTTCTTGTTTTTTCTTTTTTTTCTTTTTTTTTGAGATGGAGTCTCTCTGTGTTGGCCAGGCTGGAGTGCAATGGTGTGATCTCAGCTCACCTCAACCTCCACCTCCCAGGTTCGAGTGATTCTCCCACCTCAGCCTACCGAGTAGCTGGGACTACAGGCACCCACCACCGTGCCTGGCTAATTTTTGTATTTTTAGCAGAGATGGGGTTTTGCCATGTTGGCCAGGCTGGTCTCAAACTCCTGACCTTGGGTGATTTGCCCGCCTTCGCCTCCCAAAGTGCTGGGATTACAGGTGTGAGCCACCACGCCCGGCCGCTCACACTTTTCATATTTGTTTTTTCAGGTGTTTTGCACAAATGAAAATAAATCTTTATTTTTACACAGCTGACATTCTCAAATAATCTGATACTATATTTGTAACATTAAAGTTTATTAAATGTGTTCACCATAAACATTAAATTGCATTAAAGATTATATTAAAGCTAAGAAAAAACCATGTACTCCAAATGATTATACCCTTCATTACATGTTAAAATATGAAATAACACGAAAGCCAAATATTCCTCTATTCAGCCAATTTTTTTTTCGTGTGTTTTGGAGCAAATATTTATTGATGTCCTTTATATTAGTTTTAAATATTAATAGATAATATTAGTCATTGTCCAAATAGATTTCCTTAGAGTTAGCAGTATATACACATAAAAATTCCAATACTATGGACTGCTTCAAGACTAGTTCTCATAATGTCAATTCATTCATCACATGGAGACTAACCCAGAGCATAGATAGTTTGGCAAGTTCAGCTCTGCCACTTGCAGCATAGCATGGACCTCACAACTACCCAGAGAACGCAAGGGTTGTCCTCACCTAATTAAGGCCTGGGGCTAAGTGTTTGTAGTTACCCAGCAGAGGTCAGTTATGACTGTGCTCTGTATTCACTGGGACTTAGGGTTATAGTATGGGACAGATGTACTTGAGGCTTTCTTTAATGTATTTGTGAAGCTTAGCCAAATACATCCTTGGAAACTTGATGAAGACATGGCTTATGGACTGGGTGCAGTGACTCACACCTGTTATCCCAGCACTTTGGGAGACCGAGGTGGGTGGATCACCTGAGGTCATGAGTTCAAGACCAGCCTGGCCAACATGGCAAAAACCCATCGCTACTAAAAATACATATAAAATTATATAGGTGGTGGTGGTGGGGTGCCGTGAATTGCACTTGGGAGGTTGAGGTATAGAAGAATCGCTTGAACCTGGGAGGTGGAGGTGTTGCAGTGTAGCCGAGATCACGCCACTGTCCTCCAGCCTGGGTGAGCAGAGTGAGACTCTGTCTCAAAAAAAAAAAAAAAGCTTATGATTTTTTATTCTAATATCTACCTAAAAGGAAATTTTTAACTTCATGAATATTAAAATGAAAAATTATATAATTAAAAAATAAACATGCTTTGATTTGCTTATATTTTTAGAGATTACAGTATTTCAGTAACTATCAAGAAAATTATTCATTGTTTTAAAAATGTGTACATTTATCATACTATGCCCTTGAATATCTCTTTTTTCGGCTTAGTTTGTACATGAAAGTATCCATGATGAGGTTGTAAACAAGACTTAAAAACGGCCTATGCACAGATCCGAGTTGGGAACCCTATGTGGAGCCTGGTGAGTGAGTCCCTTCTGTTTTCAAAGCGATCCTTTTTTGAGAGCTGTGTTAACTAATGTTTCTGGTCTGAGGGTTTGAGGTTTTTTCCGTTCCTGAGAGCCTGAAAGCACGTGAAGCAGGTTATTAGGATTTGGGGTATTGTGTCGTGTTCCTGAGGTGTCGACCATGGGTGTTTGTGTGTGGGCCTAGTGGGGTGAGACTGGGAGAGGTTGTTTAAGGGTGGAATGGAGATTGGTGCACGTTCTCTCTCAGTGTACTATTACCCTGTGTCCAATCCAACAACCCAACCCTGCTCTGTGGGAAGCTGCAAGGAATCTCGCTAACTGACCTGTTCTGCATCCATGTGAACTACAGTAGTGATTTTAAAAATGAACACGATAAGTTCACTCTCCTGGCTTAAAATACTCCTCAGTAACTTCTCGATTGTTTTGTAGGATTTTTTTTCTTTTTTTTTTTTTGAGACACAGTTTCACGTCTGTTACGCCGGCCTGGAGTGCAGTGGCTTGATCTCGGTCGCACTCAATCTCCCCGCCTTCTGGGTCAAGCAATTCTCCTGGCCTCAGCCTTCCTGATAGCTGGGATTGACAGGTGCATTCCACACGCCATGACGTGGAATTTTTCGTAATTTTTTAGTAGAATCAGGGGTTTTGGCATGGTTGGTCCAGGTGGTTCTCAAATCCCTGAGCTCCAGAAAGCAGTCGTGCCTGCCTCTGGCTCCAAAGTGCTAGGATACATGTGTGT